GGGTGGGACCGTGGGAGGCGGCTGTGCCGGGCCCTAGGGTGGGACCGTGGGAGGCGGCTGTGCCGGACCCTCGGGTGGGACCGTGGGAGGCGGCTGTGCGGGACCTTTGGGAGGGGACCGCGGGAGGCGGCTGTGCCGGACCCTCGGGCGGGACCGTGGGAGGCGGCTGTGCCGGGCCCTCGGGCGGGACTGTGGGAGGCGGCTGTGCTGGGCCCTCGGGTGGGACTGTGGGAGGCGGCTGTGCCGGGCCCTCGGGTGGGACTGTGGGAGGCGGCTGTGCGGGACCTTTGGGAGGGGACCGCGGGAGGCGGCTGTGCCGGGACCCTTGGGTGGGACTGTGGGAGGCGGCTGTGCCGGGACCTTTGGGAAGGGACTGTGGGAGGCGGCTGTGCCGGGACCTTTGGGAGGGGACTGTGGGAGGCGGCTGTGCCGGACCCTCGGGTGGGGCTGTGGGAGGCGTCTGTGCTGGGACCTTTGGGAGGGGACTGTGGGATGCGGCTGTGCTGGGACCTTTGAGAGGGGACTGTGGGAGGCGGCTGTGCCGGACCCTCGGGTGGGGCTGTGGGAGGCGGCTGTGCTGGGACCTTTGGGATGGGGCTGTGGGAGGCATCTGTGCTGGACCCCGGAGAGGGGTCAGGCCCTTTGGGTGGTCTCGATGGGGGAGGGGAGCAGCCCAGGCAACTGCAGTGTTGTCAAGCCTCGGGGATGCATGTCCACCTTTTCTGAGGAAGGTAATTACGAGTCTGTTACTGGAAGCTTCTCGTAGCGGCAGAAACGACTTCAGAGCGTTCTGAAGTTTGCTGAGCTCTGGAGCTCTGGGATTGCGACACTGTCTGCATGCCTCTGACCTGGGCGCCCAGCTGGAAGGGCCACCTGGGCGCCCAGCTGGAAGGGCCACCTGCTCGGCCCAGAAAGGCCCAGATACTGACATCGCTCCTGGGCTTCCACTGCGCAGTTTGCACGGGGCCCCTGGTTTAAAGCCAGCGGCAGGATGAGGGTTCTCTAACTGAGTCCACAGCTGGCCACACCTCCATTTCCTGGGGTCGCCTGCGGGAGGTCCCAGCAGCTCTGGCCTGGCCGCCACTCTCTGCAGCTGCCTTGTGTGGGGTCACACTGCAGGATCACTTGTGTATGCCACCAATTACCCGGTCACCGAGACACTGTCCAGTGACTAAGGCCGTCGTGGAGGGCAGGGAGAGGGCCCGGGGGCTACGAAGGGGTCTCTGGGGACATCTTTGCCCAGACACTGGTCACAGCGACTGCCAGGGCATCTCAGCACCCGGGCACTGCAGAGTTTGTGCAGTGGCACCTCTGATGGCTCAGAAAAGCGGCGGGGCGGAGCCTCAGCCTGCCTGCCCGGCTCGGCCCCTGTACACATGCCCCACCAGGCCCACCCCCCTGCCCCGGCCTGCCTCTTTCTACTCAGCCCAGGCTGCTTTCTCCTTGAGACCTGACCCACCCCGAGTCTCTTCCCTTGGTGAGCTCAGGCCCCAGGGAAGACTCTGCCCAGTGTACCCCCCACTCGCCTCCAGCCAACCCCAGGCTCCCCCAAGGGCTGAAGCTTCTCAACAGGGCTGGGGGCTCCTTCCCTGGATGGCCCTCCCTTCACAGCCGGGCATTTGAAGTGCAGACTCAGTGGCTGAGACAGGCCCTGCCTACAGTGGGAGGTGGAGCCAGGTAGAGGAGTCCCCGTCGGCCACAGGGAAAGGGTTCCATGCCCCTCCCTCAGCCTACTGCCATGTGCCAAGCGACCTCCAAGCAGGGATCACTTACTCTGGGGATGACTCTGGGGTCAGGTTGGACATCTCCTCCGGCGTCGGAACTGTGTACACAGGATGAACAGAAGGGAAGGCCGGGTGACTGCCTCATCCTTCCCCTGCCCTGGCCACCTTGAGCTGAGGTCAGGGTCATCAGGAGTCCACCACACACTGGGACACCCCCCAGGGCCACGGGTCCACCCCAGCTCCTGGCCACCTTAGAAGCCCCACTGGCCAAGGCGCCCCCTGGCTGCAGGGAGCTGTCCCAGCCTCTGGTGCTGAAGTTGGCTGTGCTTTCTCCAGCAGCACTAACTGGCCCTCGGTGCCCCCCCCACGGAGCCTCCTGACTGGCAATGCCCACTCGGTGGCCAGCTTGCCTTGCTGTGTGCCTAGCCCACGACATGGAGTGAGTGGACTTGGGAACACAGAATGTCCGGAGTGGATGCCAGCTTGGGTGGCAGGCAGGACACGAGCTGCTGCCCGGCACTTTTGCGACAGCGATGGGCAGTGGACAGGGCTAGACCTCCCATGCAGCTGCAAGC